AAGGACAAGTCTTTTTCTTACGAAATGCATGACATTCAAAAAAAGACAACAAATAAATACTACATGTACAATATGTAGCAATGAGGTAGAAATGGTTATAAAGAACAATGTCTGAATATACGTCAGATGAGAAAAAGAAAAACAAAGAAATGAACGTTCTCTAGCAACTGTATATAGTCCACAAGGAAACACAACACACACACACACACACACACACACACACACACACACACACAGGAGTGAGAGAGGTGGGTAAGAGATATTTAGTTTTAATCCTAGAAATAAACTTTTGCCTTTTTTTGTTTTGTATCATAAAGCAACAAGAAGGAATGAATGTTCTCCCAACCTTGGTGTACTACAGAACCATTTTATAAATATTTAACATTCTATAAGACTGATTCATATATTCTCACACAACTCTGTGGCAAGGCTGACCCATACTGCCGACATTCTACATATCACTGAGACAGGGAGGTGAAATTTTCCTGCTTTCAGTCTAATTGTCTTTGACAATTGCAGAGCCTAGTGCTACACTGCTTGTGTTGTATTTAAAAACAAGGGAAAGAGGAGAGACTTGTTCATTAAAGATGCAGTATCCCTGGTTCACACAAATGCATCTGGCAGGTTCAAAATCGAATGTCAACCAGAGGTCTTAGCAGAGTGTGAGTGTCAGTTCATGTGTTGGTTAGTCACAAGTACAGCTGGTTTTGAATTCTGAAATACTAATAGTCCTTATTCGCTAATGTGCTTCATATGAAAATCAGCAGGTGATTCAAAAACCAAAGGCTTTTCAAAAGAAACATATCAAAACACTACTTGTAAAGTGTTCATGTATATCTGCACATGTGGAGAAAGGAAGTAAACAGTTCTTTCTGAATAATGTAAAATAGATGTTAGTTTAAAGCTCAAATAGGCGGTGAAAACAGCACACACACACACACATACTAACTTTATATATATATGTATATATATATTAGAACTTTACTTTAGTGGCCTCAATAGTTCAACAAACTGTGTCCCTTTCACTTTGCAAAATACAGTTTCACCGATCATGATACCCAATTCTTGTTAAGAAACATGAGAATGGGATTATAGAAGTATCTTTCTGCTTGGAGTTGGACACATTTTCAGAGACAGAAATTACAAATGCCTCTAAAACATGTTTTACAACCCACAAATATATTTAAATTTACAAAGACCTAGTGTGGAAATTAATTTGGATTTTCTAGGATGTAGTGTTTTGAAAACTGCATAGCCAAGGACTATGCAACCCATGCAAATTGACCTTGCTATTTTACATAGCACAGCCTCTGGATAGCTTTTATCACTTGCCCAGATGGTGTTTGGCCTATGTATTTTAGTGGAATGGTTTATTTTCTCCTTGATAGGTTTCAAATGCACAAGAAATCATTATACCCGTCTATCTGCATTTGAGTAGAATACAAACTGACTAATAGATAAACATTCTGTGTGAAAGTAAATAGCCTTAAAGTATACTGCCTTCACATTCCATCGATCAGCTCAGTCAGCAAAGTTTTCCATATTGTCACTAATGTTCTAAATATTTTGGTGAGAAGCATGCCAGAAGTGTAGAGTATTTCCATTTGTGTCACACATAAGGTTATTATGAACTACCTCTTGCATTTCTATTGATCCTTCTGAAGTGGTTTCCTTCACTTCCTTTTTGTCCCTGTTGGAAACATTATTGCAGTTGTGAAGGAGAATTAGGGGCTGTTAAGTGGACTGGCTCAAATCCCCTGGCCAGACAGCAAGGGATTTAGACTGGCTCATTACCTCCTTACCTTCATTAGTAGCCTTCACCAAATTCTTAGCAGTCAAAAAAAGGCCAAGGGTATGAAGCCACATTACTCAGTTGTACTACCACTGATTGTATGCATTCACTGCTGAGGATGTGGTACCCCCACGCCCCCCCTAAGCTCCAGAAGGGATGGTCAGAAAGGAGCTCATTATTAGGCTAGTCCATAGAAGAGCTCATAATGCTGTCACATAGAATCAGAGAATCACGGGAGAGCACGATCTACTCAAAGGTCCGCCTTATCTCCCCCAGCACATCTCCATTGCATCAGCATGTCCATTTTCTAAGAGATCAAATCCTCGAATTCAGGAGGCTAAATGAAATTCACACACGAATTCAACTTCTGCCTAAATACACAGATTTTTGACCACTGATATCTCAAAGTAATTTTTAAGTCACTTAAAGCTAAAAGCTATTAGGTATGACTTTATTTTCAGTTTTATAAACAAGTGTGAAACATAATAGTGCAGTCATATATTTGGCATTAACTCTTACTAGCCACAAAAAATATGGATCAATATCGGATTTTCCAAAGTTGTCTAAATGAGACAATTTATCAAAACTTGCTGGTTGCTTTCAAGTGAACACAGCATGTTGGCAGAAATAAAATATAGTGTCTAAAAGACAGAAAACAGGTCAGTACTGTGCAAAAGTAAACTTGTCAGGGGATCAATATGAACGTACAAGTTAATGGGGATATTAGAATTTCTTTACAATATGGGGTATGCAGGGTAGAGCCAGAACACGACTGTAGCATTTTTTCACTTGCAAGAAGCAGAGGATGTACTTAAACATTATTTTTGTATCCTTAATGAAAGGCACTGCTTTTTAATGTGGAGTATGTATATGTGAGCACAGTTTTAAATCATAGAACATCAGAGTACATTAATTTCTGGTTCATTTGCTCAGTTTTTAGCAACATGAAAAATAAGAAAAACAAGGAGTAATGGATCAAGCATCATAAAATTTCAGAAATATCATGAAGTTCTCATTAGTTTTCTCTATGTTGTGTTTCAGAGAATTTAACATTGTGGATGAAATCAGTAAAAATTTCTGAAGGAAAAAAAAACAATAACAGAAAGACCTTTCTTGGGGCTTCCCATTGCATTTATTTAAAACTTTAAAAAATGTACATTACTTTCTGAATACATAAAATGCCAGTGCTTTGCAACAGTTTTGTTACTGCATCTCTTGAACCAAAAAAAAAAAAAAAAGAGAGAGAGAGAAAAAGGAAAAAAATAGGAAAAATACATTAAAAAAGCCAGGCTGTTCTGCTTATGCATGGGCAGTGGCTTTGGAAAGCTACAGCCTACACTGTCTGTTTAGAGGCATTGCTGAGCACCAGTCAGCTATCGAAAAGTTGCACATAAAAGCATTCAAGGATACAAAGGACAACTTGGTGGGGAGGAGAAGAATAAGAAATTCAGAAAAATGCCACATATGCTCTTGGGGTGGGAGGTAGAATCAGGGAGACGTAAGCAGGAAGACTGGTGTATTTAGAAACTAGATTTATGGGAAAAGGTGGAAGAAAACCAAGTGACGTGTTTGGCAAGACATGCTGTGTGTGCATGTGTGTTTGTGTCCACTTCCGATTTTCTACTTTACTTTCCAGGAGAAATGTAGCAAAACTGAGGTAGAAATGAATGTGGGAGCACTGCAGCCCAGAAGAGTTTAAAATGAGAAGCAAAATTGCACTGACAAGAGAGGAGTCAAAAAGAAGGAGAGGGGATGTGGGAGTTCTTTGTGGATATATATAAGTTGGTTGTTTGCCTTTTGTATTTATTTACGATTTGTTTGTTTGCTTGGGTTGCTGTCTTCTGCACTCTATCAAACAGCATGGCAAGCGTACAAGCTAGATTAGTGAATAGAATGACACCATTCCCAGCAGTTTTCAGCGAGAACTTGCAGACCACCACCGCCACGACCACCACCAACTACGCGGTACAACGCAGTCCCAGTTTGGGGGCACTGTGCCTTTCAGAGTCCTAAACAGGTTTTGCAGCTGACTGTCCTAGATACTAACACAAACTGAAGAAGTAGCTTTCCATTAACCAGTGTACCTTTTAAAAACATTTTCACTTCACTACCAAGGAGCAATGTACGAAGAATTCTTGCAGTTATTGACATAAAGAATTACTCTGCTCTGGTTAATTCCCCATAATTAGTAAAAGAAACTTAAAAAAAAAATCCTTCCATTTCTACTTTAAATTGTAAATATTCAGTTGTATCACACTTAATTATTTTTTCTGGATACATTCAAAGTAATTTTCCTTGCTATTTTCCAATTGTTGAGGTAAACATACATTTTAATATAAAGTAACATTGAAGCCTATCCCATTACTCTCAGCAGTACATAGTGCTTTCAACACATTCCTTTGAGGTACTGTACAAATCACAATCGCTTTCCTGAGTTTTTGCAGACAAGAACATTAAAAGAAATGAACTGCAGAAATTAAGGTCCAGATTACCGTTACCCTGTTTTACCTGTTCTTAGCTTAATACTGCAGAACAGACAGGATTGAGGAATACTGTTGCTCTTAAAATGGCAAAAATCTGGTTTTCTGTCATAACACAACTGTTCATCTCTTTAGTCCAATAATGTTTGAAGTTAAAGCTCTTTATATTAGCACATGCCACCAATGTAATTGTGAGGCAAACAAAAAATAAAGCACCACTCCAGGCACTTGACAGCAACTAAATCTCGAGAACAGCAGAATGGAATCAACACACGAGGTTCATGTCCTTCTGAAGTCAACACACTTGCACCTTGCTCCTTGGTGAGTGTTGTCTAGCTTGAACCGAACTAAGCATCAACAGATGCTTTCTGTCATCTGGGGCTTTCATATTAGAAGCTCTCATTTGATGCATTTTTCCTCCAAATCTACCCTGACTCTAAAGATGCAACTTAATCATCGTCTTCCCCAGTACCCTTTGCAATTTAAACACTACTGGAAAGGGGCTCTATACCCTATGTAGCAGGTTTTATGTGCGTGTGCCAACATTCATTACACTTTTTTTTAACAGAAGTTATCACTGACTGCAACCAAACATTTTGTTCCATTCAACATACATATCAAGCTCTTTTTGAGATATGCTAGGCTGAATCTTGCAGAAAGCATTTTCAAAGTCTTGATATGTAATGGGCCTCAACTGGCCGGGCATAATGGCTGAGAGGTCTGTGGCTGGCATGGCATGGAGGGGCCCCACCGCTGCTTCCTGACACAAATGAGCCACATCTAGTCCAGAAAAGCCTTCTGTGCGCTGGACAAGCAGTGCAAACTCCTTGTCATTGAGACAGTAATTGTGCTGTGAGAGCAGTTGTACTATTATCTGGTGCCTCGCTGTGCTGTCAGGAAGTGGGATTAAAAGTCGTTTCATGAAGTACCTCCGAAGAGACTCATCTATTTCTTCTGGTTTACTGGTGGCACAGATTACTACGATTTGGTCCTCAGCCGATGTTAGCACAGTGTCCAGCTGCATCAGAAATTCGGTTCTCATCCGACTGACTGGACTGTGTTCCTCACTCACTTGAGAGGAGAGAAGCATGTCAATGTCACTGACAAAAATTACCGAGGGCTGGCGACATCTGGCCACAAGGAAAGAGGCATGGATAATTTTCTCTGCTTCTCCTAGCCACTTGGCAACTAGGCCAGAACCAGCTATTTTGAAAAATGTAGCCCCCAGCTGACTAGCTATGCACCTGCCTAATAAGGTTTTGCCTGTTCCTCGAGGTCCAAATAAAAGGATGCTCCGTGGTAAGGCCGTCAGTCCACTGAATGCATCTGACCTCAACACTGGCCATAGAACCTCTTCCTTAATGACAGCCTTCACTAGGTCAAGGCCAGCAATGTCATTCCAGTCCACCGGTGGTCCTTGGGTGATGATCTCATTGGTTACCAGGTCAATGAGGTGTGTGTCAGTATTCTTCAGTTGCTCGTCCACAGAGTGGTTGGATGAGGTAGCTGCACGGAGCCCAGGGCCTTGCATTGGGTGAGAGAGGAGTTGCCTGTGCTCGTCCCCATGCTCACTCATTACTGGCGACGTGTACTTCCCGAAGGATTCATTGGATCTTGATCCCAGCGAATTTTTAGCAGTACTGTAGGAAGGAGGGGTCAGAGCCCTGCTGGACTGGCTGCTGAATTTCCTTTGCTGTTCAGAGGACATTAGCTGCTTTGTTGGCTTAAATGCTAAGGATGATGTTTCAGCACTTCTGTCAAAGCCATTCCCCCGATTTGAGTTTGAAATGCTGTTGTCGGGCATTCTGTACATAGGACTCTGTGTAGATCTCTGTTGGCCATAGCTGTAATTTCCATAACTGGAGTCCATATCCCCTTGCCCTGCCATATAGAAAGCTTTTCTTTTGAGAGAGCTTGCTGAACTGTTTGTCAGGGCTGAGGGTGCGATAGGTGTCAGACCATGACCTTGGTAGGTGTAGCCAGGAACTGTGGTTGGGGGCAGAGGGGTAGGAGCAGGGATTCCTGAAGGCAGGTACGCTGAAGGAGGAGGAGGTGCACCCCCAGGGCTGTACCCGGACCCCACAGCAGTCTGAGGAGGATAGCTCGCAGAGGGATAGCTATAACTGGAGAGGTTAGAAGTCCCATTGTAGCCTGGGACCAGGGCTGGTGGCGGAGGAGGTGGTGGTGGTGGCTGTAGGAGCCCAGAGCTATGCAGAGGAGATGGATGAGGCGAGGGAAGTGCAGGTGCTGCTTGGCTACTGTACGTAGAATGCAAATATGATCCGTTGTATCCTGGGGCATATTCCTGAGATGGGAGCCCTGCATGAAGACTAGGTACAGTGTGGCTTCCACAGGTACTACTGGAATAACTAGGTTCTGTCAGGTTGCTGGCCACCCCAGGAGAGCTCCCTATACTTGCAGAGACATCTGCTGGAGGGAGGGCTGAACTAACTCCAGCTTTGCTGGCAGTGATGACATCTGGAACACAGTTCATGGGATAAACAGCTTCTGAATTCAAGGAAGGCTGCCAGGGTTCACTTTCATTTTTCCGACCATTCACTAGTCCCGATGGTGCATCTGAGTAGTTGCTGAGCACAGGTCGGTCCACAGGGCCTTCCAAAATGCCAGAATACTTCTCTGCATATTTTTTTAGTAAGTTGGATGCAGTCAGAGCAGATATGTCATCATTCGCCCAGGCATACTGATAGGTGCGCTGCAGATGACCTCTGTAGGCTTCAACCTTGTGGGCAGGGGACCGCGTGGTTGAGGTGATGTCAAAGTGCTGTTCTGGCCACTGGGCATGCTCTGGCGTCCACTGCATCTTCAAGCCTAAGGATTTGGGGGAAAATAGTTAAATTACTTAGATACTCATCAGAACTGTTCAAGTCCCCTCTCCCCAACTTTTTTGATGACCTATTATTTTCCATGAACAATATGAACATTATAGAAGATTTCCCCAGTTTATAACACCTGTCATAATCTCTACTGTAATACGTATACTTTCAAATGGACTGAATTTCAGCCCTGGATCAAAAATAAACTGAATTCCAGTGAAAACTTTGTATAAATATTTTCCATTTGAAAGTCGTAAGTAAATCTATTTCTGTTAAGCCTATTAAGTCACTTGCCACACAGGCAGAGAAATGCATATATATGTACACACACACATTCCTGTCAAAGCACAATTCAGTCATAGGTCCCTCCAGTAAAATATGCACACATTTAAAATATCTAGCAAGCGATGGTATCAAAGTGCAAGATCTAGCTACTCTGTCTCTTCACATCACAGTTTCTGTTTTATGTTTTAACCAATATAAAAATGAGACACAGCTGACAGATCACATCTAGGATACCTCTCTTATTTGGTGCTGAACACCTAGTTAGCACAGTATAATGCTCCCTGCACAGAACAATATGACACAGACATAGCAGGTCATTCCATAATCCAACTCTCATCTAAAGTGGTCCACGACAGTTTCAAATCTGCTTCGTGGAGTGCAGCAAAGCAATCTCCCAGGCAGCGCTCCATCGCTTTCATCGCACAAAGCCTACAACTCGGTATGAATTACAACGCGCTCCTTTCTGCCTCTCAGTTCTGTTGTTGAGTCCCTGAAAAAAAAAAAGCAAGCATCACTTGTCTGTCCGTCTTCTAGCTAGCATTCTCCCTCCTTCTCTTACAATCCTTCTCCCTGCCTACAGTCTCCAAAAGAGGGGAGGGAGGGAGGGAGAGAGAGAGAGACTGTGTGTGTATGTGTGTGTATTATATATATACACACATATATATAATATACACACACACACACATGGAGAGAGAGAGGAAGGACTGAAACAGGTAAATGGGAAGATAAATAATAGAGAAAGAGAGAATCTGGATTCTAATTCCACATTTCTGTGGGAAGCAGTGTGTGGTAGAAACTGGAATAGTACAACTAGGTTATGAGATGTTACGGGTAATTCTACCATCAGGTGGCTAATTGAAGCAAGGTTACTATGTAGCAAACTAAAAAAACAAGGAGTATTTTTTTAAGAGAAGATAATAAATAGTTAGAATCAGAGAATCATATGAGTTTTACAGTTTAAAGAGACCTCAGAAATTACCTTCTTTCACAGATTAGAGAACTAATACCCAAAGGGATTTACAATGTACCCTCGAGGACTCACACATAGTTAGTTATAGTACAGCACTGAAACCCTGTTCTATTTCCCAGTGCTGGCTCATCCCATTCTAATCTCCGCTTCCTGGGAACACTTCCTATTCTGGTACAGCTATATTAAACAGGCCCTCTTAATCTCCTTTGTATTACCCAAAGTGAATTTTGCAAACTGTCTTGTACCCTCTGGCAGAGATCCCTTGATAAGAAGGCGGCCTGGTCTAAATGAAGCATCTGTGGCATTAGCTCTCTTCTGTCTATTGTGACAGCTCCTACCCCCTTCTGCTTTCTTCCTCCAAACCTTTTAGCTCTTCACTGACTGACTCTGGCTTCTGATATGGCCAGTTTTGACTTACAGAGCTAAACTGAACATAACACAGAGTTTGGTAACAGAATGGCATGTTGATTCCCTTCTGACTCCCTCTTCCTTGTTTGCAAAACCATTGCACCAGACACTGGAAGTTAATTAGCAGGATGATGCTGTGCTAATTGTGTTAATTTACAAGGTTTTAGTCAAAGAGAATCATGCCAGGGCTGGCACTGCTGTCATGCCTCAGACTTAATGATTAAAAATACTGAAAACAGGGTAGGAAGGATTGCAGTAATTACACAATAAATGAATAAAGCAACAGGATTCATTTGCAAATATATTTTACTGCAGTTGTACTCATTTGCATTTGGATTTTTAAAAAGGATCCATGTAGATATTCATTTGCAAATCACCATCTTAGTTAAATTAAGTCTGAAAGCTGCACTGTATAACTTAATCAAGCTTTACATTTTTTTTTTAGCAAAAACACTGAAAACCTTGCTTCTCTTGTACACGCAACAGATTCTTTCTTCACTTTCCCTCACTCCCCCTAAATCTTCATGTTTCTGTTTTCAAAGTCTGTCTTTTAAAAACAATCTCATTAAATTGCAAACAAAAAAACCTCTGTAAAATCTGGATAAAGTGCAGCTTACATCATTTCACTCAGGGAAACTCTTATGAGTTCTAGGAAGAAATAAAGTGATATTCTTAATTGTATCTGTTTTCTCAATCATTATTTTTTAAGGAGGAGGAAAACACACCGCAAAATGGGTGAAATGACCGAGACCACACTTAAAGGGGAAAAGATGCAAATTTAATGAAGCAGCATTTCAGGAATCATACTTTCATTAAATTCAACTGGAAATTATTAAGAGCAAATCACCAGGAACCAATCGCAAGTAATCAGTATCTAAATTCTTCTAGTGTCATGGGATTTACTTCAAGCCTCAAAAAAAAAAAAAAGAGAGAGAATATTAATGTGATTATAATGTAGAACTGTCTAAAAGACCAACAAATTCATTAGTCCTGTAAATTATTTCCAGGGAATTTCTATTAGGGTTTTTTCCTTAAAAGATTATCAAAATACAGAGTTGAGAAAATAAGAACATGTTATGGGTAAGAACTGACTAGACTGATGCAGAAGAAATATTTAAATAAATGTCTTAAGATTTCAGATAATAACTCAGGAGTCACAGGCAATGGGATTTACCCTAAATGCAACACAGTACAAGAGATCACCACCCAACACAGTAGACTCGTCAAAGGGCTTTGCTTCCTTTCAGTGCACTGAGCTGAGCCGTAGGTGGCATGAGTTAACACACACGCATAACAAAAATTATTTTTTAAATGCCCATTAAAAGACAAACTGCTATAGATTTAGAATAATAATTATTATTTATTTAACTAGGCAACCTTCCACCTGTATTGGCTCAATTTTTTTCCTGTAAATTAATCATTTATAAAATATGCAAAAAGTGATCTTGGTAAGATACAAGCAATATAAGAGACAGAATATAAAGTTTAAATAAAGTAGTTTGATTATTTTCTTTGGGTATTTCTGCATAGTTTAACTCCAGTAAAGCTAATTACATTTTATAAGATTTGTTTCATCAGAAATTAAGCAAAGATTCTATCTGTCAAAATTATATATTTGGAACAATTATGGGAAACACTATCGCCTTTTGATTCTCATGCTATTTTTGGATGCATTTACCAAGATAATTAAATGTTTATTTATTGAGGCATACTAATAACAAAAACCTTATTGTGGCTGCAAAAGGTAAGATTGAGCTTTGATTAAATAAACTTAAAGGATCAGAATTATTCACATTCCCTGAAACACAAGCACTTAGCCAGTGCTTCGAAATCATTAACATTATTTTCAAATGGAAGTCAATAGGTTCCCATGAGCTAGTTCTTCACATCAGTAAGGAGCTGAAGGTGCCAGCGTTCAGGAGACTGTATCTAGGCCTTGGGGGCCCCAAAAGCTTTTTTGTCAGTTTCCTGAATTTTAATACTAATTGAAAGTAGAACCAAACTTGTTTTTGTTGTTGCTGTTACTGTTCTGTTTATTGGTGATGATATTGCTGATGTGAAATGGACGAAACGCAGAGTCAAAAGTTCTTGGGACAAAAAAGCAGGCTCCTTTGATTGCATCTCTGATCTGAGAGGAAGAAGCAGCAGATGCACGTCACTTAACTTGGCGTCCAAATAATAAGACGGGTGTTAAAAACAGCTTTCGTATGCTTTGTCTTTGGAACAGGAAGAGAAGAACCTCAGAAACAATACTATCTCAAACATTATTAGAAGTGTGTGTGACTGCAGAAAAATACCCCCCATTGCTGTTTAGAAATAGCTTAAATAGGTACAATAAGAATTCAGAAAACAGTGAAAAGTAAGGATAATTAAAGAATTGCTCCAATATATCAGTTTTGATTTTTGATAGGATAGGAAAATTCTTAATAGAGCTGGGGAATTTTACACGGCAATGTGTTTTGAAAAAATGTGTATTTTAATAGAAAACTGCTTTTAAGATACTTTAAAATGTTACACAAGAATGACAGTCAAATTCGACAGTCAAAATTTTATTTTGTTGTTATAGGATTTATATATGTGTAGAACAGGTCTGTATTACTTCCCATAAAAACTAGACAGTTGGGATAAGCTTTTCCATTGTTACAACCATTTCATAACTTAGGTTTAATTACTAAACTGTTGCTGCCTCATCACCTTACTTGCTGCATTCTGCTCTTTCACTATTTGAAGCTAAACAACTGTGGCAGCCTTCAAAGTTCTGTCCCAGCTTCAAGATTATCAAGAAACTCTAGTGTAAGAAAGTGAAGAACGTAAAAACAACTTTCTGAATGGGAGGAAACTGGAAATAAAAGACTAAGCCTTGTAGAATCTATTTTTAGCACACATTCCTGGAAATATTAATCTAAGGCACTACTCACCACTCCACCCCCACCTCTAACACACATATGCTGTTCAGCAGTTCGTAGGGTCTAAAAAAGCTGTTCTCTTTGACAAGGTTCCCGTGAGGTCATTCTGGCTGCTGGGGACTCTGCCTTCATTTGGGGGTTTCCTCAGACTTCCTAAGGGCAGGCACCCGAGGCAAACACCTGCAGGCACGGGGCCCAGCCTCTTAGGACAGCGCGAGCACTTTCACAGGCCGCACCGCGCCTGATCACACTCCTCTGGACTACTGCGTCTCCGAAACTTTCATTATTATTTTTCAATATATATTTAAAAGTCGAATACCATATTTACCAAGATTTCTCTCTAAAAAACAATCACTACGAGGGTGAAACAGTTTGGTGCTTCACTTGCTATGGTATATCCTGTGGGGTCGAATACTATTTTGTCTA